AAAAAAAAAGAAAAACCGATCGAGAGGAGAGAAATCTTGATGGGATAAAATGCGCATGAAACGGAATCATGCGCATGTTTCCGCAATCATGCACGCATGAAACCCATCTCTAATCAACACTCTATAGCTTATGATTTAATACAAACATTGTACCGTAAATGCATGCTCACGTTGATTGGTCAATAATTTGATTTTCCAATAAAAGTTTTGCGATTAATACATGATTACCATAGCAACCGATAAGCTTTAACTTAGTATGATTCAATTTCGTGTAATCAATATTAGAAATCGACTTGAAGCTATTTGGCTCTAAATCGTTACAAAGTCTTTTCAATGACTCTGTAGAAATGATTATCTTATCAACTTAAATAAAGGACGCAATTGTTTAATTAACGATAAAAATATGCATTGACCAATCATAAATCTATTAAACAAAAACTTACTACGTCCATCGGATCCATCATCTTTACACAAGTCGAGTAAACGATATAGCCTTGGAATGGTTTTAGACAAATCTGACTCATGCAAATAAAGTGTAAATAATAATTAAATTTATTATGTCTTTCCGAGCATTTTGAATAAAAAAATGTATATAAAAAAGATATCTCTTTCATTTTAACCAGTTTATCAATCGCTGGTCATTGCATATTTTATATAAACAAATAAAATTTATGATTTTTGATTTTTACCAGCTGTTTCTCCTAAATTTCTGGCCATTTGAAAACTAGAGTATTTCTTTTCTGTCCGTTTTGAAAAAGAGAAGGAGGATTTATGTTCTTTTATCTCATCTATTTATCTTAAATCCGATCTTATATATTAACTTAAAAGTTAGACTAAAGTTCTTTAACGACTGTCATATATACCATATATAGAATCAATAGGATGTCGATCGATCGATATTAATATGGGTCATTGTTTCCATATAAAGGATTTTATTTCTGCCCTTGAGAAAATATGCAATTATTGCAGATGAAAAGATTTTTCAGGATCATTTAAATCCTATAACGGTAAAAGTTTGGGTGACAATAATAGATAAACAAAGTTAACTCTAATTTCCTGTGCATTATCATTATATAGTATATTACAATAAGTAAAACGTAACTTTGTAAAAACTATTAGATAAGAAAGCGTAATAGAAACTTCTATTGTAAGTACGGTATGGTGTAATGATAAGAGATGCATAAGATTTTTGATTGATATTACCATTCCAGTAATGTTAATTAATGTTAGTCTTTGGTTTACAGATTATCCTTTCATATTGTATCTTACAGTTCTCACGAATTCTTGAGCAAATTAAAATTTTGCTCGTCTCCTTGAAACCTCATTGATCCTGTTTTAGGAATAACAATCAAATGAATATATATTTAAATTAGCCAGATTATCCGCATGAGCTAAATGAATATCCGGCTTATTCAGACCGGAACAGATATAGATTATGGCTACGCAATTGACTAACGAATATAGACAATGATGAAATGTGAGGTACCAGGAGGAGCTAAATGGATATCCAAGATATCCGGATCCAAATAGTCCGGCAACACTCTAGTGAAAATGGTAAATTACCATGTTTAAATGATCCCGATTATTTTATTCGTATAAATTTAGTTATCTATCTATTTAATAAAATTTACATCGTATTATCATTAAGTAATAAATACTCAATCTATCCAGCAATTATTGAGCGTGATTGATATTATAGTATACAATATAATAAGAAAAAAGTGACAAGGGAATTTATCAATTTTTATACAGTCATATTTGAGTTATATCTCCCCTTTTTTCCAGAGCAATTTTGGAGATATAACTAAGCTAGGGATATAACTTGAGTCTTGCCTTCTAACTACATGATTAGTGATGTAACATTTATATGATACCCAAAATTTTTTCGCGTACAGTACGTACTGGTGTAGTACTATTAGTGATGTGCCATTTATATGATACCTGAAAAATTTTAGCGTACAGTACGTACTGTATGTATAGTTATTTTCCTGCATCTGATTGGCTGGAAAAAGTGATCGGCAAAAAATTTACTGTACGTGACACATCTCTACGCATGAATGCCGGGTACCCTTATGTCCAGAAAATCCCGGGCTGAAGATCCCTTCCGACCCTATCCGGATCCAATAAAATCTCAAGATCTTGTGTGACAAAACAAACGCGAAAAACATAAGAAATTGTAAAAAAAACGTAAATAACACAAAAATTTACTATGATAACTAACTT